GTCGGATGGACTCGGTAAGTGTCAGAGCGACGTCCCAACAGCCATGAGAACACCGGCGGTCACACTGAGAGCAAAGCCAGCTGCCATCACATACTTCTTCCGATGGTAGGCAACACGACCGGAACACCAATCGCCGTAGTAAATACAAATCAACAGGATCCACTGGAGAAAAGCCACCATCGTTGAGATGTAACCGAGCATCAATGCATACTTCGTCACCCCAACGAGGCCCTTGACAAGTAAAAATCCAATCACAAAGGTGGTACCGTTCAGCAAGACACTTACAATACCAAAAGATTCGGCTGCCAAAAAATAGTGAGACAAGGAGTCACACCCAAGTTTCTTCACAGAAGTGGAATTGGAGGACGCATTGGTTGCCCACAAGATGCTGTAACGTTCCTTCCACAAAAAGACTTCTGTCAATATCCGCCTGGCGCTGTCCTTGTAAAACCACAAAGGAATGGCACATGCCACCGTACTAAACAAAAAAGCAATAAAGGCAAGCATATCAAATGCCTGGATGCCATAGGCAACAATGCGTTCGTCTCTCGGAAAAGGCACCTTGTTGTATACTACAATACCCGCAAAGGCAGTAATTGCCCAGGCTGCAATGGTGAGGGCAAATCCCACACTCAATTCAAACGCATGAGAATGATAACTTGACCCTTCGCCACATGCAACAAAACTGAATGTATACACGTTAATCCCAATTGCCGATTCCACTGTCAATATAATAAAACAAATGGCAACACAATAAATCAGTGCAAGTCGAATACCAGAATTCCCCTGTAGGAAATACCGCCTTACAACGGCCGCCACAAGTGTAATAAGGGAAATAAATAAAGCCGAAACAGCAAGTATTTGCAACACCAACAAACGCTGCCGCACCGGGGTGCAGGCAATGGCGTCACTCCTCATGCTAGTTCTCACGCTACCCACCCAACGGGTTGTCTTCCAAAGTTTAAATGCTTCCTTAACATTTTCCCCATTGGGTCCGGCGGCGTATTGCTCCCTGAGAAACCATGCTGTGCCCAAAGAAACCGCCAAGAAGACGGAGTTTAATACAAATGCCAACGTCACAATTTCAGGACTGATATCCAAGTCACCCGCTGGTGGCGGGGGCGGCGGGGAAACGGCTTCTTGCTCCGGTTGCGAAGGAACGGATTTGGAGTTTTCCGTACTTTCATTTCGCGAAGCCGAAAACGCATGATTTGCTCTTCCCATTGAGTGATTTCTCCACCCTAACGCCAAAAAAAAAAAAAAAAGACTCGGAAACCTTACACCTTCACTCTGCCTTCTCCCTCTTCCACCCAACACGAAGTAACAAACAACAAGAAAGAAACTGGGGTGTGGCCAACATTGCAGAAGTAATACCTTGTGGCACTTGTTACATGTTCCCATTGTCATGTGCAAATCATCGACATCACACTGGGAATTAAATCCGATTCCTTTTTTTTTTTCATTTTCTTTTTTTTCGTTCTTTGCCTTTACCCCCGTCGTTCCACTCGCATGATCAGTCGCTGCATTCCACCTGCTTCGTCCATGCGACTTACCTCCTCAACCTGAAGTCCGCGGCCTTCAGCACATTTTTGGAACTCAAGCGCCCCACCATTTGTACCAAAGTAATACTGCTTGCTGGCGATGTATGCCACCCCTGCTGTCGGGGAAAGGCAACGTTCCAACATTTCAGCAAGCTTCTCGCAAGCCTCGTCATCAAAGGTAACATCACTTCCAAGCACGACTTTGCAGCGCACATCATGTGCTTTCTTTCCAGTTCCATCGTCACAATCCTGCCATTGTAAACGACTCCAGTCGCCAGACACCATCTGCACAACTGGCAGACATGATGGCAGCGAATTCTCACGCAATGCAACGACCTCTGCGTGGCGCAACAAATTAGCTCCAATGTTTGACTTTACACAAATCTCCAACACCTCCTCGTTGTAATCCTGAAATATCACGCGTCGAGCCCCCAAGAGAAGTGCAGCGATTCCAGGAAGACCTTGTCCACACCCAACCTCGGCAACAATGGGATGCACCAAAGAAGTGCCTGCAAACTGCCCATCAGGCAGCACTTTTCTTGCTGTTGTGCTTTCAATGGGGCTGTCGGTAATCTCAAAAAGACGCCTAAACATATCGCGGTTCCCAAACATATACGCCACAAGATACGGCGCACACGACCACACCTTCAACCCTCCGTAGTACTTTCCGGGAATAATGTCCCTTCGCTCCAATTTATCTCCCTCCGTCGTAAGTTCCGATGCATCTGGAGCACGTTGGTAGACGAGGGGGGGAGTATTCATTCCAGCTGCGTCCCTCGGCAGCTCCATCCTGTCCCGTGGGTGCGTTGGATAGCATTCGGCCCAATTCTCCAACAGCTGCGCTGTCAATGAGTACACGGGAAACTGCGACACAAATACCGCAGGAACAGTCATGGTTTTTGTGGAAGTACTTCTGCCAGTCAAGGGCGGAGGCGACTTCACCGCATCGTCGTCGTCGTCATCGTCGTCGAATGTGAAGAGGAATTCTTTAGATGACATTAAAAAAAAAAAAAACCGAACTTCTTTCCTTTTCTTCCTCACTCTTTCCTCCAAGAAGATCTTCGCTGTGTCTCTCTGCACGTGTCGACAAAGGCAAAGAAAATAAATATATATATGTAAGCAAGGGAAGGTAACTTATCATCATTGTAAATTGTCTTCTCTGACGGTTGGTCTGCAGTAGTAGTGGTAGTACTGTGACGTGTGTGCAGTAAAGTGGAGTGGGGTGGTGGAAGAGTTGCAACCCAAATTCACCACATGTGATTACAACCAACAGAAAGCAAAAATAAATAAATAATACACACATTCAATAATCACACAAAACTTCAAGTGTACACCCTTCCCAGGTGAAAAAAAGCCCGGTGTTTTGCTTGCTGTTTTTCAGCGTATTCGTAAGAAGTGTACCCACGACCATTCAACATTTCTTCTATGCTTTTGGAGTACAAATGATTGACAGATGCCCCTGAATAATATTCGTTAAATGATCGAGGCAAAATCATGTTCATGGCCAGCTGAAAACTGTTTTGAAAACGTACAAGCGGATTAATATGCTTCATCCGTTCATAGTACAGGCAACGATCCGTGATTTCTCGCAGAGCATCACCACTGCAGCCACGTTCCTGACTATACTGTTTGATGGCATCGTAAAAATGTTTGGAGTAGGCATCCACTTGATTCAGCAGGTTGACCCCATCCTCGAGACCCATGGCTAATCCTTGAAGCCAAAAGGGATTGCACGTATGTGCTGAATCGCCAACAACCACCGCGGAGGGAAGGCCAACGCTATTAAAAAGATTTTCACAATAAATGGTTGGATACGGCACAACAGTACGTGTGAAGGAGATGATCTGACACGTCGTATCATTTTCTGCAAGGTCAGGACAAAAACTGCGTAGGGCTTCTTCGTCAGAAAGGCGTTCAATATCACTGGAAGGGCCATATACAAGAAGGGCAAAGCTGCTTTCTTTTTCCTTTGCATCATCACCATTGCTCTCACGATCCTGGCGAGGAAAAGCAATGGCAATCGGTACTTGAAAAGGCGAACAGACATCAACCTGCTTGGGTGACTTACGTCGTTTATGCAGCCAGCGGTGTATGTGTGCATGGCTCAGCTTTTTACTCCGAAGAAGAAACCATCGCATGCCAAAGTCGCCATCTGCGGCAAACCCTTCCACATCAATGAGGTCTCGAAGTTGCGAGTCCGCTCCCTCCGCACAGACAAGCAGGTCATAATCCACCGCCTCAGTTGAAAATTTTTTCTCCCACTTCAAACGATGAAGGGTAAGACTCGTCTCCATGCGATAACCTCGCCTAACTATGACTTCAGCGGCATCATCCTCTCTTTCTCTAGTTCCTGTTCCAGCATTATCTTCACTTGGGTTAACCTTACAAGCACTTTTTTGTTGCATTCGCCACGCATGCGTCTGACTCTCACGGAGAGGCTTCACTACAAGCTGTTGTTTCAGCGGGTAAACCGCCTCTATGACGTGCTCATGAAAGATACGACAGGTTCCCGTGGGTAACGCATGCACATGGAGTTCGAGCAACTGCCGAAGCGCCAACAAGTCCATTGACAACATTTTGATGGCAAACGGGTGATGCTCCGTCAACCCCCGCGTTAGCCAGCTGTTGTAGGCGCCAGGATGGTCCATGACGCCAGACACGGGCACGCCACATTGCCTCAATTCTCGGATGTTTAGACCTGCCGCTTCCAGTGCATCAACAGCTCGACGTGTTGCGAGGGCGTGTTGGAGCCCAAGAAACGGTCCAAAACGATACTGCGCAGTGTCTGTCATTTCCACGTTCGTGCCAGTTGACGGCACCGGTGGCTGGGCAACAACAGGCGACGGCTTCAGGGCAGAGACGTTCTGCTCAATGACGCTCGTGTGCCAGCCGCGCAGTGCAAAGAGGGCTGCCACCGTCAAACCCACAACTCCGGCACCGGAAATGATGACGTTACCCTTGTGTGGTGAAGGTTCCCCGGCAAGAACGGGCTGCCAGTTTTCCCCGCGAACAGGGTAGGCACGGTTACTGATGGGCGGCAGTTCCAACTCTTTTGGGAGACCAGACGGGTCCAATCGCCGTCCTGAACCATCCGTGTATCGGTTTGTTGACCCGAGCAGCCGCCAGCAACGCTTCCACATCCACCGGTGGCTATTCACTCTCACCTCCCCTTACCACACATGTATGCAGACAACGAGGGGTGGAAGGCAAAGATACAAAAGCAAAAACACTCAAGAAGTAAAATGGCTCTCTCTCTCTCTCACACACACACATAAAAAAAAGCCTAAAAGGAGAAAGAGGGGCAGAAAAGGGATGAAACAACTCATCGATTCGAGGAAATGTACTCAAAACAAACAAACAAACAAAAAGCCATAAACTACAACTCTCCAACTCTTACCGGCGCCATTTTAAACTTCTTCACCTGGCTCTTTCTTCAGTGGCATCGGCAACTCCTCGTGAATACGATGTAACCATCAACAACTCCTCCATCTCACCAATACGACCTCGCTGTTTCAGCGCCGTGACCAATTCCATTGCAGCCTGACGAGACACAATGTTGCTCTCGCAAACATGCGTGAAGGAACGACAAAGGGTGGCATTTCCCCCTGCCGTGAACATGTGATGCCTGACAGGCCCACGGCTCGTTTTGGAGATCACACCGTCATGCTCATCGCAGCAGCGGATGTAGTCCCACATGGCCCGCAACACTAATTCCTCATTTCGTGCTAGGCGTGCCGCTCGCAAAAGAGAAAGAAAAACATTCACGCCTTCCGTGAGACGATACTCTTGTTTCCAGTACGCTTCATACATTGAAAGCGCAGCGGAGGGGGAAAATACACAATGGCGCAGTATCTCAATCATATTCCGCTGCGGCAGAGTCGGAGCCGCCCGATCTTGTGTCAACTGATTGTAGCACCAGCAGGCTACTTCCCAAGAAAGCAAACCAACTTCTTTTCCACCACTGTTGTAAGAGTGAGGTAACAATGTTTGCCCCTCCTTCCCCCATGTGGGATCTGTACGCATACGATAAAGGATTAGGTACGCCAAAAGCTGCTGCACTTTTGTTGGATGTGGCACTCTGGATAATGAGTACTTAAAAAGCTCCAGGGCCATGCTCCATGAAGGGCAATGACGGATCAGCTGCTCAGTGTAAGAGGCAGGAAAGACGAGTGCCGTGTGCGGCGGTCCATCGTCCCGACGGAACAAATCGATGGCAACCTCCCATGGCACGGCTTGCGCAAAGCACGATACGTGGAAAACATGCAGGGCATCCTTTATTTTCTGAATCTCTTCCGCCCCTGCTTTGCGTTCACCATTTTTCAGAGAAAGCGTCTGGAACAGCTCCTTGTCAGCGAGACAGAGAAGTTCAAGCGCAACCTGCCAACTTGGTACCGCAGACCCGCCATTCGCCGCGTCCAATTTTAACAAATCTTTCGAAGTAGTTGCCTCTTTGCACTCGGCCTTGACAGCCTCCAGCAACCGTCGCCATTGAAGATCGTCTGCGAGAAAAAATAAAAGTGAAGACCGCAATTTTTCCGCTTCCGCGGCTCCCACGTTGTGCAGCCCAAGAAGCACCCCAACCTGCACCACCGGCCGTATTACAGAGAGACGCATTGTGAACGACGCCGCCCGCTTTCCTTCGTCTCGCAACGTCGTTTCCGCCTTGAGTAGGATGCGCTCATGCAGCCTCATAAGGAATTCATAAAATAGCTGCCGCTGCCGCGCCTCGACACAACCATCGCCGAAAACCTTTTTGTCCACGATGGCGGCAGCGGTAGCCAAATAATTCTGCTGAAGAAATGCCGCCGGTATCATCTTGAGAAGGGCAGTGACCTGCGAGTGAAGACTAGAAGAGGTGCGAGATGAGCCGGCCACCATGGCTGGCAGACATCCAACAATCCAACACCACGAGGAGACAAATAGACTTTTTGCTTCTTCCCCTCGCTGGAGTTGCAATGTCGCCGAAACTGACACCAACAACCGCGACGACAGCCAGTAAATGTCCCGCCACGACCCCATCAGCAGTGCAGATTGTAGAAAAAGCGCAACGATGCGTTTCATGGCGGCACTGTCTTCTTCCATTCTCTTCGTTCCACTCAACAACAACAACTCAGTTGCCAAAGAAGCCACACACCGTCCAGAGAGCTCCAAGAGACGTAAAAGACACTCCTGCATGTTATCTTCCCTCATGTGGGAAAGTTTATCATCCGTCGATAGGACATAGACCGCATCGTCACAAATAAAACGAAAAACAAGTCCGACTACCGCTCCCGTTGTCGAGAATGCATCCCGTACGCGCGCAGCATTATTGCCCTTATTGTTATTACCAGCAGCAACTCCACTTGTGGAAATGTTCTCGGTGATGCTCCCGTCCAACAGGCCAGGTAGAGTCAGAAAGTAGACTGCACACTCAATAAGAGACCTCCATGCCCCTTGCCGTGATGTCACAGGTGCAGGAGACGAAGAAAGAGGGGGAGTGACACTACCACTATCGCATCCAGCCTCCTCCCCAAGAACTTTTTCGTACAGTCTGTAAAGAACCATGTTTACGGCACGACCTGGAAACGCCATCTCTAACATGAGCAACATTGAGGAGGCTACAAGTGGTATATCCACAACGCTCTCTTGCTTCTCCGGCAATGAAGGATTCCGCACCACTCCATGGCGCAGTAGATGTGGAACAAGGCGCTCAACCATCAAGCAATTCACGGGGAATAAGGAAAACACCAATTCCCCTGTGTCTTGACAAGAAAAGGGGAGATTATTCTGCAAAACTCTTTGAAGTAGGACAAATACCGATTTCCACACATCTGCATGTGTGACTGTCTGTTCCTTGCACGCCATCCCAAGACATTTCCAAAGCTTTTCTCCGACTTGACGCAACTCCGAAGGTTCAACAGGTTCATGCCGGAAGAGTGACTGCTGAAGTGAAGGCGCATATGCCACATGATCGATAAGTTCTCCCATTAACCGACGAAGAGAACTCGTGTGGTTGCAAGAAGAAGGATTTCGTTTATTTTGTTCCAAAAGCGCCTTAAAAAAATCATCCTCCCACCGCCTCGAGACATAAGTCCCATAAATTTCCATCGCTCCGAAAAACGCTTTATTGAGGTCCACATGTGGCGTTTCAGCCTGAAGAGCGTCATTGAGCAGCTGAACCGCCTTTTCCCACCCCAGCCAACGACGGATGTGAGCCGCCTTCATCATCTCCTCCGACTTTTCACGGGAAGACGACGACACATTTTGTGCTTGTTCTTTCCTCATCATCGTCCCTGTCATTCGACGATCGTGGTCTGCAGAACGTAACTCGCCTGAAATCATAATGTCTGAAAACATCTGCAGTGGTGCGGCATTACAAGGCATGACGCAAGGGGCAACGCAGGGAGGACGAAGAAGCAACCACATGGCAATGGAACGCATGAGAGTTGGGCTGCAGCCAAGTGAGCGTCCGCCGGTGACTTTGACGATGTGCTGCAAGAGGATATCCATCACAGTCAATTGAAGGTCGTCGAGCTGTCCTGCTAGCAAGAGAAGGAGCAACCGCTTCTCCAGAATTTTCGGAAAAGCGGCAAGCAGACGACACACGGTGTGTCTCACGGCAACCACATGTTCAGCGTCTCCCATGACGTCTACCGGATCCAAAGCTAGCAATGCAGCGGTACAAATATCCTCATCCATTCGAGTGGCTGCACGAACAGCGGGGGAAGCTGTAAGGAGGCTCAACACCCTTGACGCTTGACTTCCTCCTGCAGTTTGCGGCCTACCAAATAAGGCCCAGAAGCAATTCTGTGCTTTCAACAGACCAAATACATCCACAAGGGCAACCGGAGTCCACAGAGCTTTAAATGTTTCGGCCGATGTGGACTGAGCTGCGCTCACAATGACTTCCAAAAGCGCATGTGAACAACAGGACCAAGACATGGCTTTCTGTGCCATCTGCGGCAGCTCCGCTTGCCCTTCACAGAGCAGCATATAAATGAGTGTACACCCAGCCTTTTGCATTGTTCGCAATTGCCACGGCGAAACAAGAGCTATGTGATCATCAAAAGGTGTTCGTGCAGAGCAACCATTTTTAAGCGGAGGAAGCGCCTCGCGTACGGCCGCAGCAGCCAAGTTCGTCGTGGGTTGGGAGAAGGAAGAAGGGACATGTTCCGATACCCCAATGGTGATGCTGTGGATGGCCTCTAGAACAAGAGGCACAATCAACTGCCGCGATTGGTGGCATGACCCTTCCCCACCGTGTGAAATTGTAGTGAACTGACATCTTTGCCACGCCTCCAGTGTCGTGATGTCATGCAATAACGCAGCAATCATATTCTTCTCTGTTTCCGTTCCTTTTATTTCAGATTGCGTCAGTGTGGCTGCTGACTCTCCATCACCGCTCATCACAACCAACCAACGCCCGACTCGCAAGGGGGTTATGCATGACGCAGGCAGAAATAAAACACACAAGCACATGAGCCAGCGGTAACGCTTTTGCAGCGGTTTCAACACACTGCTACCGGATTGAAAAGGGCTAAAGGTTGTGTACCAAACGTACAAAGTGTAGTTGACATCCCAAACGCAGTTCATGACCTTCTCAAGACACGCCGCCATTTCCGCACCAAGTGCCATCCAATCAACACCCGCTTCTGTAAAAAAACGCTGCGCAAATGCCTCGCAAAGATCCATGTACTCGATTGCACCACTTTCCAATACACTCGTCAGATGCTTCGCCTCATCGTCACGAGAAAAAGATATTCCTTCACTCCCTTGACTACGGCGTCGGTGTGCATCAAGAGAGATCTTCATGGTGAGAAAATGAAATGTGCGACGCAGTTTGTCTAATACGGCTGCCAAACTCTCCGCAAGGGCAGTTATTCTTCCAGGTGTTGTCGTTTGTGCTGTGTCGGCGGCAGTGATAAATTCATTGGCTTGCAGCAGCAGTGATAACAACTGATGCACCAACGGCCAGTCGTGTAGAACCTCTTCGTGGGGCCCGCTGGTGAGGCACTGAACAGCAACCGTCAGCGCCGTCAGCGTCTCGGAACGCAGGCAATGGCGCGGCTCCGTTGCTTTTCTTGCGGTGCTGTTCACCCCACGCTGGAGGATTTTCAAAAACAGGGGCAAGAGGATGCGTGCAAGACGCCGCAGCAAACCCTTCACACGATGTCGGCCACACCATACAAGGGCATCCAAAAGAAGTTCGTGCGACAGCCACACTGCGCGGTCCACGAGATCGGGCAACAAATCCAGCAATGAGAGGAGCTTCTCGAGAGCAGAAGGTGAGGCCTCGACCAACAACCAGCTCACAGCAACACTCTCCACAAAACCCTCTTCGGGTCGATCACAACGCCGTATGAAAGCCCTGAGAACTCTTAGTGTGGATTCATTTGCCTGCAGCACAAATGATGAATGCTGCGACAGCGGGCTGCAAAACCAGCGCAGGCACCGTAAACACTCCTGCCAAAGAGTCCACCGACTCATATGCGACATGCTTATTTGATGCCAAACAGCATGCAGCACTACTGGCACGACAAGTTCTGCCTTGGCGCGAAGCTCATCGTTTCCCTCCTTCGCAAGCCCAGAAACAACCTCCTCTAGATTTCCCGTTAAGTCAGAGAGCAGCGAAGTGGGCGGCTCAACCCGCGTTTGCAGCTGTTGTAGAAGCTGCAGTGTTTTTAAAAAGAGCGACCCAAACGATCCTAATCCACCTTCTCTTTTGTCATGCATAGCAACCAGCTTGAGAAGAGCGTGGACGGCATCGTTGGAGGCATATGAAAGATTTCCATCGTGGTCCTGCCAGTGATCCTGAAGCTGCTCCTCTTTGCCCAGAATACCTTCGACACCCTCGAGAAGCTGCATTGCCATACTGCCGTCAATCCAGCCCGTGGCAAGTGCACGTTGGGTTAAGTGCACGGCAGCGGAAGGTTGACGGACTGCACTCCAAACGGCGTAACGAATTGCCACTGCCGTAATGGCCGTGCAGGTGTAACGATCGGAGTGGTTCGCCTCATCCACCTTAACGCCATTTGGAGAAGAAAGACGGGAATGACGACGACGACTAGGACCATCTGCCTCACGTGACACTTCTTCACTACGAATAACATGTGATAAGAGATTAAATGCAGCTTCCCACTGATTTTCTCTTTGCAACAAGTGAGTGACGAGGCTCACAACGATAGTATCAGGTCTCCGAATAAGCGCCACATGGGAAAGGGCCTTCTCCCATATTCCTTCCGGTAAACCATTCGTGCATCTACCAACACCCGCACCCTCATTAGCAGATGTTTGAAGGAGCTTCACAAAGGGCGCATAAACGGAGAGGGACGCATCGAAAGGAACACCTTCATTTGTGGAAATTTGGTGCTTTGAGTCCCGGAGAAACTTCTCATAAATAGCAATGGAAAGCGCTGCCAGGTCTTGAGGGATATTTAGACGTGACACAGCAGATTCCCTCAATGGCGTGGAGTGAAATCGACGGTGAATGAGTTCCAATTGAATGGTACGCAAAGCGATGTCGTACATCTCTACTGGGAACGAGGGATATACGGGTGAGACGGCGGCAATCCCAAAAGGATAACAGAGTCCCGTATCCATAATGTGTGACGTGCGTCTGCCACCATCGTCATCCCTGTTCGTTTCTACTCTCATTGTTTCCTCCTCTTCAAATAGCCAAAGTAGCAGGGGGAGGTCTCGCTGCACCATGGCGGTCTGCGCCACCATCACCCGGGCACGTGAGGTCCACATCCTGGATGGGACCTGCACATGCAACCCAATAATCTTCTGGTAGTGCTGCGTCCTCCGAAGTACGAGGAGGGCATCCACCAAGAGCTGCCTTCCCACAGCCGCCCGCTCCGTGTCGGCGGGGGATGCCAAAATGTGCTGAAGCAGACACAAATTCAAGGCCCAGTCGCCAACTTCACGGGACGCATTGCTTACAAGAGGCAAAATTTCTTCACCGAAATTCACCGTGCGACTGCGGTCACGGTACGTGTCCAGCAATACCTGATGCTTTCCCGCATCTGCCATCATTGACATGAATAGTGCCACCGTATCGCTCTCCTGCACACGATGCAGAAAGGACGAAAAGAGCATCAGCGCCGCTTCCCATAGATAACTAGCCGCCGCGGGTTTCGTTCGTACTCCGTGAGAGGTGGAAGCGGGTCGTGCGGATGCTGCACAATGAAGAAATGGCCCCCGATAATCCGTCCGCAGCGGTGCAAGTGTCGTCTTCTTGTTAGTGTGACCATTGCCGCCGGGGTCGATGAGAGAATGGACGCCTCCAATACGATAAGCCTCCAGTGCTAGTTTCAACAAACTATCGGAGACAGGTAAGTATTCATCTCGCACGTCGTCAAAACACCTCAGTGCCTCTACCCAGTCTCCCCGAGAGACCGCGGCGGCCATCAGCCACTCGTACGTCTCAGAATTAGGCTGCAGTGGAAAGGCCGTTTGTTGAGAGCCACTGACATCAAGAATGGAGTCCATTTTACACGGCGTCTCGCTCAGACACATACCACACTCAGAAACGAGAATCTTTTCAAGAAACATCTCCAGCTGCTGCATCTGTTGCCAACGTTTTTCACGAACAGTGATGCCCAACAGAACGTTAATATGCTCAATGGATGGAACAACCGTATGCTGCTCCACGGCTTCACTAAAGAGCTGAAACGCGGCATACCAAGTCGCAACCGCACCTACCGCATCTGCTCCCTCCGTTGCTGTGGAGGACAATGTTTCTGAAGCACAAAGACCATCCTCCGCATCCGTCAATAATTTCGCCGCGGTGGGGGCGTGAGGGACTCGTTTCGCATCGTGTACTACGGCGTTCTCTTTCCTGCTCTTCAGGAGCAACGCCCTCAGAAAACGCGGCGTCCCTTCTGCCGATGTACCTGAGGAGCTCTTCGCCTTGTCACTCAGAGAAGAGTGCCAATCATTGGCCTGCCACTCTCTGCGAGGAGGAGCGTCACGTACTGCCTGCACGGGAGCCCCACCGCCTCTTGTTGCAGCCGCAATGCGAAGAAGTGACATTGTGAGAACATCCCTGAAGACTTGTTTCTTCGCCTCGTTTTCACTGGCGCCGCGTCGCCGACGCTGCACGCGGAGTGACGCACGACTCAGCAGCTCAGTTATGACGGCGTCACAGCAGATGCATCTTCGCATCGGATGCTCTTACCGCTCGCCTCACGATGAATAACAAATGACGCTAAGATTTATTCGTTCTTTTTGTTTCGGACACTCAACGCACGGCATCCACGCGGGACAACAACCAAAAAAAAAAAAAAAACGGAAATAAAAAAAAAAAATAAAAGGCACCAGGCAGAAGGAGAGATGGTGCGTAAAAAAACGACTCCCCCCTTGACGGCAATTTATCTCCGCTCGCAGAGTGGTGTTCAGTCCTTTTTTTTTTTTTTTTCCACACCCAAAAGCTCGACCTTTTCCATCCCCATCTCCCCCCACGTCGTCCCCTGTTTTTCCTTTGCTTTGCACGCCTTCTTTTTCACCCCCCTTTTGCGTTTCTCTTCGCTTTCTTTCTCCCTTTCTCTCTCTCCTCAACCGCTCCCTGCATGGGCGCAAAGAAAGAAACATTAAACCGCTTCCCTCACGGCTTGTGTGGATTCACATCCGGCGGTTTTGGTGGTGTTGGGAAATGTCTTCTCAAATGCCGCGGTGAAAGAAGTCTGGTAGTACAGCTTGAAGTACGGCCCCTGCGCCCGTAAGAGCGCCCCACCAACCCCCGTTGCAAGCACCACAACGTTCCAAAGAAGCTGCATTGGGAATGTGGGCGCAAGACCAAGTGATTCACGCAGACGCAAGAAGCCATCACACGACACCGTCGGCGGGATGTCTACTTCCACCCGACCAAAGCCTCCATAAAAGAGCGTTAAGATTTTTGGGACCACATCGTCCGAGGATGAAGACCCCAACAGAGAGGTTACATTGCGGCTGCTCTCATTGTCAAATGTTTCCCTTATACATGTGTGTGGCAACTCACCTTCAGCAAACGCCATCTTCACGAAGAAACGCGGGTAACTGCCCCAAAGAGAGGACATAAAAAAGCGAAATTCCACCGCGTGTCCTGTGGGACTCAACAGACGACTGCAGATGGCACACTTCCGCTCGTCATCCCATACGTGCTGATGAATGTCTGAAAAGGTAACATGGTGAAGAAGAAACAAGTAAACCAGCGTGTCGGCGAGGGAGTGACGCAAGCGGCACGCGGTGCCTGCGTCAGAGCCGGCAATTAACACACCGTTCGATGAGACCGATAGGGGCAAAGACTGAAAAGGGGTGGAAAAAGGCAATGAAGATAACGGATCTGCCACGGGGAAAAACAAATCCGTGTGGCCATCCCCTGTTTCTACTGCCTCCTCCTCTTCACTGCCTCCAACGAAGAGGGTCGTCGACATCAGTTCCATTTGCGGAAGCAGGCGCCTCATTGTTGACATATCCGGACGCATCGACGGATGGCAGCACTCCCACGCATACACCAAGGCACTAATGAACTCTGCAAGCACTGCCTCTCGCTCCAACGGCGTTCCCTCGCGGCGATGCGGGGGCGGCAATGCAAGGTGGAGCATAAAGAGGCGTATCGCATAAAGACTATCAATCATGGGGCGCCTCTTCGTAGCCAAATCCAACGCCTTCTCGTCATCAAGAAAGTAAAGAGCCTTTCGCAGCCGAAGATGATCCTTGACGCCATTTTTACGCCGCAATTCATTCGTTGCACCCAACTCATTCCTCCCTTCGTCCCCATCGTGACGATGATTATGATAATGGTGCTGATTGCATCGCTCCTCCCGTGAGGATGACGAGATAAGATTTTGCGCCAAAGTATAGGCATCAACGGAGGGCGCAGAAAGCAAAACCATGGACCCAACTCGCAGCCGCATTTGTGTTATACGACTTTCCTTATCGTCATGTTCCTCCGTGACGGACAAATCACCATTATATCCGTGAGCACAGAGACGTGGCAACGACAAACTTGGGACGGACGCAAGCAGAATCCTATGATCCCCGAGCAACGCATGGGAGGAGGAGGCATAGGAGAATCCATTACTAGAAGAGGGTAGATTCGCGACTTGAGCGTAACTGCGAAAAAATGCACTGACTCGTTCAATCCACACATTTTGCCAGTATGTTCCACTGCGTGTCACCGCAGAAAACAGGGACGAGACCACCGCAACCGTGTTCAGTGTGACGGGAGCGGGAAGAAAGGAGAGGACCAGCCGCAATACGTCTATCGGAATCCGCGACAGTGAGAGATGCTCGGAAGTAGCGCTTGCCACACTCATGCCAATGCTCTTCATCATACGTGTGCGTCCGTTCTTTTTCTTTTCTTCTTCCTTTTTTTTTTTTTGTGTTTGTGTGTGTGTGTCGGGAGGGGGCAAAGTGCAGGGTTCCCAAACTTTTTACTCCTCACGCACCAAAATAATAACAATGATTGAAACAAACAAACAAAAAACAACAACACCAAAAAGGGCGCTATCTTTTTTTCCACTCTGGCAAACCATCGACCAACAAACACACACACACACACGAAGGCAAAAGGAAGAGACAAAGAGAGAATTCCACGAGACACATTGCATGCGGACAATGATGTCTTTCCAAAATGATCACACCAGAGAGAGAGATAGTCAAAGAGAGAGAGACATCAAACCGCAAATAAATAAACAAATAAATAATAATAATTGTTAAGGCATAAAGAGAAGAAGAGGGTAAAATAAATAAATTTATGGAATATATATATATATATCACCAATGCTTCATGACAAACGTAGTTTTTGGACAAGTTCGTTCCAACCAGCAAGGTTGCCTTTGCCACGATAGCCGTATTTTGACATCCCGCCCTTCCCTTCTAGCGCTATGCAGACAGACGGGGCCAACGACTCCACTCGATCGGTTGGGCCAATAACCATGAACTGCCCAGTCTTCGCTCGCCCCAAAGCACCACCTGCCGTAGCCGTCGCTACAGGACTGCCCCAAGCCAAGACAGCCAAACACTCCGGACACGCCTGACGTATTGCATCCCGTAGAGCATTAAAGAAATCTCCCCCAACATCATCACGACGGTACACAACAATGCCACCACCAGCACCTTCCGCCAAGGATGCCTTCGCTTCAGCAATAAGTTTTTCACTTTCCGCTTTCATAAGCTCCAGCGTCAAGTTTTTGAGTCGCTTCTCCATGTCGGCATATTCTTTCCCCCTTTTCACTGCTGCAGCCACAAACTCTTCGGGTCGCACCCCACCTAACTCCTTCATTAGCTCCTTCTCACGAAAGTACATGTCACCGTAGTATCGACACAATCGATCACCCGTGACAAAAAAAAGTTTTAGCGTGTCACCTTTGGTCTCCTGGTGAAGCAATTTTATCATCTGAAGTTGCGTCAAGTTGCTGACATGTGTGCCACAACATGTGCACTGGTCAATGCCATCCTCCACCGTGATGATGCGGATGGGTCCAGTGACATCGGATGGAATGCTGCGCGACTGCCGAAAAATTTCCCCAGAATCTTCCTTTTCCACCTTCTCCCTTAGCGCCTGCTCATATGCTTCCTTGCTCGGATACATGTCACAACGCACAGGGACGGCGCGTGCGATGGCGTCGTTGCAAACCTTTTCAAGGTGGGCCACCACATCCGAGTCAATTTTATTTCCTGTCGGGAGAACAATAAAACTATACGGATGAGTGAGGGACCATGAGACGGTGGGCAAACGACACTGGGGCGCCTTTTCCACAACAGCAGAGAGCAGGTGCTGCGCGGAGTGATGCTGCATGTGATCGAAACGTCGTGGCCAGTCCACGCGTACCTCCACCTCCTCTCCCGCCTCCAGTGGGCACGGTGTCGAGATCACACACGTGTCACCGCGACGCTGCACATTTCGAACGGGAACCTCCTCATTCCCATACACGATCGTACCGTGATCGCAGGGTTGACCACCTCCCTCCGGGAAGAGGACAGAGTCTGTGAGAACAACATTATAACTCGGATTCGTGTTGGTTGAATTATGACCGCCTTTGCCGCTGCCACCGGCAGGTTTATTCATAGAAACAGGTTCACACAATACGACACGGGCGCGAAGCCCGCGAAGAAAGGGGTTCCGTTGGCAGGCGAGTTCTCCCACACGAACAAATGTTGGGGCAGTAGACATCTTAATGCAATGTGTATTACACAATCCAGTTCCTCTTCAACCTCCCTTTCGCCTCTCTTTTCTCTGCCCCCTCCCTTCTCTTTTTCGCTTGGTTTGCTATTGCTGTGTCTCTCTTCTTCTTCTTCCCCCTTTCCCTCGCTGCCCTAAACACAGAGAGAGGCGTTCAATGTGGCCTTGGGTTGAACTTCACGTGCGCTCTCCTGACCGCTAAACCAAAAAGAGGAAGAAAAACAAAACAGGGGGGGGGGGGGGAAAGGCAAAGCGGCATGACAAATCACAAGAATACAAGTAAAGACGTCCCCGATAAAGACATCCACACACATAAATACATGCACACAACCACAAATGCAAACTCATTGCTAACCCTCACATATCCCAACCACGGAAGGAAGGTGAAAAAACAAACAAACAAACAGAAAAAACGTGTATGAAACTATTTAGTCCTGTAGTTTTTTCCGTTGATCTGCGGATTCCTCAGCTTGCAAAAGCATCTTGGAGAAACGCCTTTCCCGCTGGTTCTCAAAGTATTCCTTTCGGTTTGCATTGAATTTCTTGTCACCACGTTCATGATTCTTGATAAATACTTCATTAATACAGGCACAAAACTGCTCCTTCAGTGGTGCACACATATTAAACAACTGCATCACCTTATTCTTGTCACGGCAAATGAAGTAGTCTTGAATCACGGCCCGACATCCTGGGTAGTCGCTAAGCCTTGGATGGCACGATATCCCACGTATAAAGAAGTTGTCGCTGTACTTATCGCTACGCTCAATATACGGGTAATATTCCGCTCGGAGTCTCCAGTACTCAAAGTTGCGCAAGACGTACACATTTTGTCGCCATGTTCGTCGTGGTGAGATGTACGCATGCATCTTCTCCTCGTGCGCCTTATCGACTGTCTGGTGATAATCGCGAGGAAGAAGCCCATGGCGCACACGAGAGCTCGTCTGATCTGAAAAATTACGCATCTCCTCAATGGCATCCTTTGAAAGGAATTCCTGCCGCTTCTTTTCCACCTTCTCGGTGGTATTTGCATCCATTTTTTTTTTTCTTTTCTTCCCTCCCTTCTGCTCTCTGGCGCTTATGCGGTTGAGGTGGATATGTGTAAAGATACACAAGAGAACCAACAACAAAATCAAAAAACAACAACAACAACCAAAAAGAGGGGGGATAAAAGGAAAGTAGAATGCAAAAGAATAGAAACTAAGAGTGGTGACAGTATTCATTGTTACCCCCAAATAAAAGAAGAGACAATAAATATATTTTTGCATGCATTTTCCCTGCCGCTCGGTCTTTACTTTTCTTTACTTTCTTTTCCTTAACGTTGAAAGAGTGTGCTGGCGAGAGTCGTGTGTGCAGGCGGTGCCGCCCCCGTGCACGGTGCCTCGCCGCACAGGTAGAAGAGCAGATGCGCCCCCAACTCCCTCGTGCGTTCCGTGCAGCGGGACAACACACCGTCCACCGTCACATACGCCCCGGGTGCCTCATCGTCCGGCACACGGAGCTCAAAGAGTGACGGCAACGACAAACGAAGTTGCGTTGCCGCGTCGTCGGTGGATGTGGCGGGGCATTGCAGCAGCGGATGCCCGCCGCTCGCTACCCTCCACAGCGGCTGCAAGAAGGCATACGCGACACGGTCCAGCATTGCACTGTCCGCCTTGCCACGAAGGGAGAAGAGAAGCCGCGGCACCATCAGCACGGCATCCGAGAGAAATCGCAGGCCGGTCTTCAACGACGCGGCGGCCTGCGAAGCGAGAAGCACTGAAAGAACGTCAGCTGCCAGCAGCGACGCCTCACCCCAATTGACGCTATCGGCGCTACAGGCAGCACGCATGACAACCCGCATCATCGGCGGCACAAGAAACAAAAGCCGCGGAAGAAGGCTAGTTGAAAATCGCACAAATGCCGTCCGCAGTGTTCGCAGCGGACCTAACAATCGTGTGGCCATCCTGCCCTCACCACCGTCTTGAGGTCCCAATAACGAGGATGAGGAAGATGACGAACCATTTGCGGCACGGAGAGCAGCGGACAAGAACTCTCGCAATAATTGACACGCATCACTCGCGGAATCCGCCACTGGCAGACAGGCGTCAGCGATGGCATTCGCGAGCTCCATCCGTGCGTTGCAGTTGCTGTTGTCACCGCTATGACCAGACGCCGACGTTGCGGGTGTCAACTCTTGTATAGTAA